CAGTACGGCACCCCAAAGGAAAAGCTACGTAAAATATAGCTTTTTGAGTAGAGAGGAGGGTGCGGAAACTGAGGGAAAGGTGCCAGCGAAAAGGGACAGTCGAAGGGGCGTGGATGGAAGGCAGGCAGAAGGAGGCTGACGCGTGCGACAAATGGAGAAAAGGGAAAGGGCGTGGCGGGGGATAAAGTAGGAGTTTTGCCACCCTACAGGCATTAGGCGCGCCTCTTCCGCTAACTATAAACAGAAGTCTAATGATAAGAAATTATCAGAAACCCTATGATTGAGATATCCCCTGACCATAGTAAATGCGTTTTCTAATCACAAAATAAAAAGCCTCTGGTGAAGATATTTGCTGCGCATAAGACAGCCTACAAAGCCAGGCTTATGGCCTTAATTCTATAAGCAAGCGTGCAGCTTATGCAAGGTCTGCCTTCCTATTTCTGAAGTGAGGTTCTACTGATAAAAAAAATGTTCATATAAGATCTATCTAGTGATAACCTCTTTAATTTTAAATTCATAATGTTTGCAAAATATTCTTCTTCCGCGGAAGATTTGCGGCTGTTTATGCACGAGCACATGTTCTCAGACCGTGCTCAGTACCGGCCAAAGGAAAAGTATCGTAGAGTAACTAGCCTTTGCCGTTAGAGCAGGAGTGCGGAAACTGAGGGAACGCGTGCGCAGGAAAAAGACAGTCTCGCAGGGGCTGGTGTTTGAAGCGAGTTGAAGAGGGCTGACGCGGTGCGACAATGGAGAAAAGGGAAGGGACGGGCGTTGGATTTAAGAACGTAGGAGATTTTGCACCCTACAGGCTAATTAAGGGCGCTGCTTCCTAACATATAAACAGATCTAATGGAATAAGACATTAATTACAGGAAAACCTAGTAGTTTGCAGACATACTCCCCACCTGGAACTGATATTCAATTGCGTTATTCATCCACATGGAAATAAAACGCTCTGGTGAGATATTTTCGTGATTGCATGCGCTAATAGACCGTAACAAAACGCCACGGTTTATGTTTTCTTTATATTCTATAAGCCAGCCGGTGAGCTTACATGCAAGGTCTGCTTCCTATTTCTGAAGTGAGGTCTACTGATAAAAAAAATTTCATATAGATCTATGCTAGGATAACCCCTCTTAATTTTAAATTCATAATGTTTGCAAAATATTCTTCTTCTCGGAAGATATTGCGCATGCACGAGCACTGTTTCAGACGTGCAGAGGCCAAACGGAAAAGTACCTAAAATATGCTTGCTCTCGAGGTAGAGAGGAGGTGGGAACTGAAGGGAAGGTCGCAGGAAAAGACCAGTCGATGGCCGGTGAAAAGGAAAAGGAGCTGCAGGCGGTGCAGACACTGGGCGAAAAGCGAAACGAGGCGCGAGCGGCGGATAAAGTAGGAGATTATTGCATCCCTACAGAGCTATGGGCGCTCTCTAACTATAAACTAGAGGCTCTGATAAAGAATTTATTACCAGCAAACCTATGTTGAATGAATATTCCCCTGACCATATTAAATGCGTTGTTTTTCATCTAACAAAAATAAAACGGCCTCTGGTGACGATCATCTTGCATGCGCTACAAACAGGTAGATGAACAGTAGCCAGTAGTTATGAATCCTTAATTCATATAAAGCCATGCTGCTTTAGCTTACAGTGCGGATTAGGGTCATGCTTCCTATTTCTGAAAGTGATTGTCTACTGATTAAAAATTAATTGTAATAGAATCTATGCTAGGATAACCCACTCTTTAATTTATTTAATCATAATCGTATTGCAAAAGTAGTCTTCCTTCTCGGAAAGATATTAGCGCATGCAGCGAAGAGCGCACTGTTCATTTCCAGAAGTGTTATTCCTATAACGGGTGGCAGTACGGCAATAGCGAAAAAGCTACGTTTATATAGGCTACTTTTGAGTCAAGTATGAGAGGTGTGGGAAAACTGAAGGGAAATAGGTGGCAGAAAGACACGTCGACGGAGGCCCTTCCGGTGCTAGAAAGCGGGAGTAAGGAGGGCTACTTGACAGCGTGCGACAATGAGAGAAACGAAACGGCGGCGGGATAATAAAGTAGGGAGTTTCTGCCACCCTACCAGGCTAGGGCCTCTCCTACTTACTAAAACAGAAGTCTCCTGATAACGAATTTATTACAGAAAAGAAAACTAATGTTGAGAGTATCCCACCTGACCATACCTAACATGCGTTTTCATCACAAACTTTAAATCCATCTGGGTGTGGAAGAATACTCTCTGCGCATTGCGCTAATAAACAGTTAATTAAACACGTAGCCAGGTTTTCATGAATCTCTTAATGGTAATGGCACGAGCGAGCTTCATGCCCAAGCCCTGAATTCCTATTTCTGAGTGAAGAGTTAGTTCTACTGATAAAATATTCTGATCAGTTATAGATCTATGTTTTAATGGATAACCCCTCTTCTTTAAATGCTTAATGTTTTAGCAGTAAACATATTCCTTCTCTTCTCGGGGAGTATTGCGGGCATGGCGCAGAGCACCGTATTCATGAACGTGCGGTACGGGTCCAAAAGGAAAGTACCTAAATATAGTACTTGTGGAGGGTGAGAGTTATGGAGGCTCGCGGAGAAACTCTCGGAAAAGGTGGGCAGGGAAGACAGTCGAGGGGGCGGTGATTAAGGGAAGGGGGATGAGTGGTGGTGCGGACAATGGGCGAATAAGCGGAAAGGGGGCTTAGATTAAAGCTAGGAGTTCTTGCCACCCTACAGGGGCTTAGCGGTGGGCTCTCCTACACTCAAACAGAGGCTCTACTGATAGATTTTAATACGAAACCTAAATGTTGAGATATCCACTTGCACCAATATCATATGATGAGTTCATAGTTTATTCATCGCAAATAGCACCGCCTTGGCTGAGATATCTGTGCATGCGCTAAAACAGTAACTATAGCCCAGTTATGTCAATTAATTGGGTTATAAGCAGCGAGTGAGCTTACATGCAGGTCTTGCTTACCTAAGTTCTGAGTGCAGGCATCTACTGATAAAATTAATTCATATAAGGATCTATGCCTAGGATAACCCCTCCTTAATTTTAAATTCATTAATTCATCGTAAAGTTTCACTTCATTTTGTTTGCAAAAATATTCATTCTTTTCGAAGATATTGCGCAATGCGCCCGAGCACTGTTTCAGACGTGCAGTACGCAAAGGAAAGTACCTACATAATATAGCTTGTTGAGGTAGAGAGGGCGTGGGAACTGGAACGGGAAGGGTGGCAGGGACAGCACAGTCAGCAGGGGCGATGAAAGGAAGGAAGGGAGTCTGAAGCATGTACCTTGTTATATTGGTCAATGGAGAAAATGAAACGGCGGGGCTGGGATAGGGGATTAAAGTGGAGTTTTGCACCCGACAGGCTAAGGGCGCTTCCCTAAGACTATACAGAGGTTCCATGATAAAGGATTTATTACAGGAGAAAACTATGTTGAGCTTCCCTACCTCTCAATGCGTTTCATCACAAATAAACTCCTCTGGTTATATATTTGCGTACATGCTTTGCTAAAAACATGTTAACGTAGACCAGAGTTATGTCCTTAAATAGTATAAGCGCGGTGAGCTTAGCATTGCAAGGCCTCCTATTTCTGAGTGGTTTTACTGATAAATTTATCATCATAGATCTATGCTAGGATAAACCCCTCTTCATTTTAATCTAATGTTTGCAAACGGTGCTCGCGCATGCGCAATATCTCCCGAGAAGAAGAATATTTTGCAAACATTATGAATTTAAAATGAAGAGAACTTATCCTAGCATAGATCTATGTGATAAAATTTCATCAGTAGACCTCGCTTCAGAAATAGGAAGCACCCCTTGCATGTAAGCTCCCCGTTGAATATACCATTAAGTACATAACCTGGCTACGTTACTGTTTTAGCTCATGCACAATATCTCACCAGAGGCGTTTTATTTTGTAATAAAAACGCATTTAGTATGGTCAGGGGATATCTCAACATAAGTTTCTGTAATTAATTCTTATCAGTAGACCTCTGTTTAGAGTTAGGAGAGCGCCCTAGCCTGTGGGGTGCAAAACTCCTACTTTATCTCCGCCCGCCCTTCCCTTTTCTCCATTGTCGCACGCTCAGCCACCTCCTTCCACTGCCCCTCGACTGTCTTCCCTGCCACCTTCCCTCCGTTTCCCACCCCTCTCTCTCTCAACAAGCTATATTTACGTACTTTTCCTTTGGCCGTACTGCACGTCTGAAATGGTGCTCGCGCATGCGCAATATCTCCCGAGAAGAATATTTTGCAAACATTATAAAATTAAAATGAAGAGGGGTTATCCTAGCATAGATCTATATGATAAAATTTCATCAGTAGACCTCACTTCAGAAATAGGAAGCAGCCCTTGCATGTAAGCTCCCCGCTGCATATACCATTAGATACATAACCTGGCTACGTTACTGTTTTAGCGCATGCGCAATATCTCACCAGAGGAGTTTTATTTTGTGATGAAAATGCATTTAGTTTGGTCAGGGGGTATCTCAGCATCTTGATTTTGCGTTCCTGGTCATAATATATTTATATTATAGTCTATTATCTATATTATGACACTCCTGCTCCTAGTAGTATACGCGTTCAATACTATATTACCACCAAGGCCCCATTATATATAAGGTTTCGATATTATATACACAGTACCCTCATCACCACCAATAACAGTAGATGCAAACTAGTCTATACTAAAATTTGTGTCATAACAATAAGAATGACGTATTGCATATTCCTTCTATCAGCATTCCGATTTGTGTTATAATTTATTAGGAATACAAGAATAGTCATAGCTGTGTTGATGACAACCGTCCAAATGCAATGTTTTTGTGATCATGTGTGCATAATATGTGAGAAAACATCACAATATAGTGGATTATCATTTTTCATCATAATGATATCTTTGAATATTAATTACACTATATTAAGTCATTAATATGACTGACACCTGTCTGAACACATAATGAAAAATGATATTCAATGGTCAAAACCATGTTGAGTAACAAATACAACAATATATTTTATTTTTTCCCTTTACACTCAACAGGAAATTCTTACAGAAGCATGGTTTTACTGTTTCATCACAAGCATTTAAAAAGCAGCTTCTTTATGTTTAAGGTATTAGATGAAACCGGAGAGAACTTACATGACTGTATGCAAACTATAAAATGCATATCGACTAGTTAGCTGAACTGGGACAACCAATACAGAAATACTCACAGCAGCCATCTTTTCCATTATCGCATACAAACTTTCTAACATTTCTGAACTTATCGCTAAACAATGCATTCCATTCTGGTTTTCACTAGTCGACTAAATGCATTGTACACATGACGTGCCGTTTAGCGTTTAGGTAATTTTTAACGTGTGCATGTCGTCTGGTAAGCTTGACCATCACTCAGACTTTGCTAAGATCACGGAGTTCCGTCCTCGCCTTGAATCCTCTGTCACAGTAATCGGATGGCTCGCGCGGCTCCATCTCTTCTCGTTTCATGCCCTATAATAAATAATGTATATATTATTAGTGCCTAAACATTTTCTCACTATAATGATTGAGATGAAATTCACGAAAGCCCTTCAGTTTGCTGCACGGCTCAAAATGAAGATTAAAACGTTTTTATGACAGAAAATTCACATTTACTTTTGACTACTACCCAAGATTTAGAATATGACTTAATTTACTTTTCTTCTTAAAATATATATAACATTGGCCACTGCAAATTTCAATGTATGGCCTCTATTTCCTAATCAAAAAGAGAACCCAAAAAGTGATAATGAATGTTATTATTAACCCAGAGAAGTTAATGGTTCATGCAACCTTATACTCTATAATATTATGTGTTGTATTTTTTCATTTGTAAAAGCAAACTGATTGTAGTGATTCATAATGCTTTTATCGTTGTGAACCCCTATATGTTTCCTACCCAATTTACTAGGTTCACATTGATAACACATTGATTATTAGCAGTTAAAATTCCTTTAAGACACATAAATTACTTACTGGGAATACAGCTGCCTTGGTTGTGTATATGTACCATCCATTCCTGCTGCTCCAATCCTACGAATAAAGTTACTATTTTACATATATGAATATACATACATGACATGTTATATATCTTTGTATTGTAAAAAAATGAGTTGGTATAGAGAAAGAAATTGTCTAATGTAAGTTATTCAAACAATATAGATGAAATGATGAATTGTCCATTTACCACACGACTAGCATGTAGCCATTTTACCAAGTTATTGTATGCATGAAGAACACCAATAACATAAAAGCAGTTTTACATAGCCACACGAAATCTAAAAATAGACTCCATTAGGTATATAGAAGCTATTAATATACTAATTAGGTGGATTCTTGCTAATACTAACCCTAGAATTGTATTTTAGATGGTAGGCGGTGAAGTACACAAGCCCAATACCAAGGAGGGCTTTAGGTGTCCAGAATCTTAAAGCTGCTGCTTTGTTGTAACCCTATAGCAAAAGTAAAGGCAATGGAAAACAACTGTTATTTCATAAAATGCAATGTAGTTATAACACTAAACATTTATGATACAGTAAGCTATTAACAAAACTCCATTGGACTGAATCATGACTCACATGTGAGCATCTGAAGCCCCCTCCCACCACCTGATCCCTAACACAGAGTTCACATTGAGCATTAGCACAATGTATTTTTAGAAAATAGCAGCAAACTATGTCTTAAAAAGCTTGATTGGTTATTAAAAAACTTCTGTACTCTGACGTCTACACATAATTATTTGTTTGCCATCATTGATCTATATTATAATATGTTATGTCCTCGCACCTCGGCTCTATGCCTGGCTCACGGCCTTAGTAAAAAACTAATATTCAATAGCTTGTCGTATAATCATCCATCTTTTATTTCTCTGATAGAACCGGATGGCGGCGCCACCGTACAGCGGTAACTATTACTCTATTGAAAACCTAATACATTACATAATATAAATATAAATGTGTGGTATTTTTGTGGGAATAACCTTTTATTATGCGTAGAGTATAATTTTGTCACACATGATCAATCTCAATTTTCAATCTCACATGAGTTAGCCGGTGAGTCAAGCTACCCGATCTCCAGGCGGGTCATCTCGACCAACGAGCCGAGCTGGCCGACCGGCTCAAGGATAGAGAGCATGGTTGTGAGAGCAAAGCCGATGTGTTACGCTACATAGTTCTCAATCTCGCCATGCTCTCTATGCTTGTACCGGCCGACCACTCGACACATGGGTCGAGTTTGCCGGCGAGGCGAGTTAACTACGGATCGTTTTACTTGTACAACACATACTATACCTACTAATTGTGTAAGCAAGATTTCCTTGAATTAATCTTAATTAAAACTAAAACTTAAAACTAAAAGGTTCTTTTTAGTTTTAATCACAAGTTATGTCTTATGACTTATCTTATGTAGTGTAGGCCTAGGCCTAGTTTAATAATACAGAGTGGCTATATGCCCGGCAGCCGGCGTATATCTGACGGCTGCCGGGCACGGTCTTCGATTTCCTAAATGCCCGGCAGTTTTTAATTTTTAGCGTTATCTCAAGTAAACAAGGGTTAAGGTTAGAGTTAGGATTAGGGTTAGGGTTAGGGTTAGGTTTAGGGCTAGAGTTAGGGTTTAGGGCTAGAGTTAGGGTTTTTGTTAGGTTTAGGGTTAGAGTTAGGGTTAGAAACTGCCGGGCATTTAGGAAAACGAAGACCGTGCCCGGCTGCCGGGCATATAGCCACAGCGTTAATAATAATATTAATACTAATACTAATAGTTATGACTATGAATGTCAGAATGAGTTATTCGGCCAATTCGGGTAAGATTTATCAAATGAGAAAAATAACTTAGATAATATCACGAGTCAGTAGTATATTAACTTAGTACCATACCAATGTTGGAACAAGCTTCAAGAAGAACCAATCTAGTGGGGCGCCGTATAGTTTTCTCAAAGGATTTAGCAAGTTTCTTTTCATCTGAAGTTCGGCTTCAAAAACAGGTTCCCTTGGAGACAGTTCTTGATCCTTCAGCCACTGCTTTCTCCATGCTCGTTCCATCGTCGTCATCCCGGCCATTCGCTCATTTTCGATGGCCATGCGGCCCTCGATTGACATTGGGTTAGTTCCCGTTGCATTTTGAGCAGGATTTGCCCCTTTCCGAATTTTAACATAACTCTGCGCCATGTTGTCATGTAGCGCTTGTCGCGTCCTCTATTTTAAGGTCAGCTACATTAGCAAAGGACGAATGCAATATAAAATATATAAACAAATGTTGCCTACTATCTTTCTTTAAAACTTTAAAAGAAATTGTTTGCAATTTTAATTCTATGTCGAGGGGAATATTTGTTAATACTAGTTATATCGTAAATATCTCATTAGAAAACATTGACTAGTCAGCAGATGATCATATTTTTGTCTCCAGGTCGCGCTATCGTCGGCAATTTTTACCTGAATTCTTCCGATGTAAATAAATACTGTTGTTAGGCACTGTGCGACGGATTGTACTACTGTGTCAGCATTGTGACCTGCTTAAATATATACCTGCTTATGTGTTATTGCATCTAAATTGAGATGCAACTTAAACATATAAAGACACTGTTAGAGCCACAGGTAATTTGCACAGTAGTCAGTATTAGTATTACAAGATAATGGTTGTTGAACGTACAAACCACTTCACATCGGGCTCAGGCACCTGTGCTGAGTTTCCCCGTACCAATTTCCACACCTATGATTTTTGGTGGACTTTGCGTGCCCCCCCCCCTTGCACACCAAATCCACCAGTGTGGATGTTTATGTATTGTTGCATGAGCAGCTTAGCTTTCCAGGATGCAATTAAGAATTAAGGATTCAGTGACAATGTTATTTTCCAGCAGTGTGGGTCATGTAGCCGTAGCATTAGCGAAGGGGTAGGCAAGAGTAGAGGCTCTAGTGTTGTCAGACTCAATCGGTTGTAATTTCGTAATCGATCATCGGTTGGACCCAAGTAACCGATGATCGATTACAATCGATTACTCGGGGTGTTGAATGCCTGCGTGTGCGTAACGTCGTGTGCATGTACGTGTGTGCATGTATGTGCTTGTTTAGCCCTGTTTACTGTTTGTTTTGCACTGTTTACTACTGTGTGTATAATACATGTATGTTAATAAAGGATAACTTGTATAGTAGCGATGATATCTCTGATTCTCATAACTTTTCCAAGTTTAAAAAAAAAATTTTTTTTTTTTTGATGAAATCGATTATGGATTTTGATAACCAAGCGCTTGGTTCGAGCCACTGTTCAACCGATGATCGAGTATAATCGATGATCGTGACATCACTAAGTAGAGCTATTATAGAACTATAGACACGCTTCAGTAATACACGCTTCCATGAAAATAGAATGCTGACCGAAATGGCAGTACGGGGTCGTATGAGAGACTATACCCTATAAAAGAAGAGGTGACTAATTATAATTAGTCACTGGTTAATCACGGTGGTGACACGTCCCTGTACTCATCGCTCCCTGGCTGGCACGCATGCTGATTGCGTAAATAAAGATTGACGCACTCTTGATTTTTTGCATTTCGACTTGTGACTTTTGAACAGGCAGCCAATGGATATATATTTTGTGTGATTTCTGTAAGTGCTAGTGTGGTCAACTCCACAACGCAAGAGCGCACTGTGATCATACAGTGCTACACGAGGCAGTGTTAACTGGGGTATTACCATGATAGATGCAATAAATTGTGTAGGCCTCCATCATTCCATGACCTAACACATAATTTTATTACTGGTATTGATTTGTTCATCATCTACAATCAATGCATAATAAAAGCTTTCTTCATTTCAGGAAGGAGCTTTTAAAATCTGTGCTCTCGCATGGGCACCAAACAATCAGAAGTTGGCAGCATGCACAGCAGACAGGGTTGTTCTCCTCTATGATGAACATGGAGAGAAGAAGGACAAGTTTTCTCTGAAGCCTGCAGACTCAAAGGTTTTACACGTTCAACTTGCACAAACTTTCATTAGTTCCATATATGTATAAATTTGACAAAATATGACAATTTCAGTTACAATGTAATAACCCTGGGGGGGCACTTCATATATATTGCATGGTAGGTATGAGCCGTGGGAGAGACCCCCATCATTTTCAACCCTAAACACCCGTTCCAGTGCATTGCATTTTAAGAATATCTCGTTCCAGAGCATCACAAGTTTAGTTACCATGCAGATCTTACATTTTTGCCATTCCGGAGACCCTAGTTTTTAAGGCACCCCTGTGCCACTGGTCATGGTGGTGGCTGTTGTTATCGTATCTGGAGCATTTTGGCCATTTTGCCAGGTTAGTTTTTGTCAGTTTGATCGTTCTGTATTTTGTTCCAGAGCATCCCACATTCAACAAACATTAGTTCCAGAGACCCCCATTTTCAGGTCTGAATTAGTTCCAGACCCCCCCCCCCCCTATTTTTGACTTTGCAGTGGCACATACCTACCATAATGTGGGGTGAGTGCCTGCCACCCCCCCCCCACCCGGGGTAATAACAGTTTGCATATATGTGAAGTGGAAATCATTTTAGTACTATGTGATCTAGTATAATGAAAATCTTTGCTGTTGTGTTAAGGGCTTCCTGTCTCTGAAAGCTAAAATAGATGATTGTGCCATTTATTCATATTTTCAGTACGGCAAAAAAAGCTATACTGTCAAGGGTCTAGCATTTTCTTCAGATTCTACCAAGCTTGCAGTTGGGCAAACAGACAACATAGTGTTTGTCTACAAGCTTGGAACTGACTGGTACGTAACATTTTCATGCCAGCTCCATTGTACGTTGTTAATGTACTGAACCTCAGTTGTATGTTTTGTTCACAATAAATTTTTGTTATAATCTACTAATATTCATTTATTAATTCCTACCATACAGGTATGTTGATTTAGATCCATAAATGAGAATTTTTTTGCCATTTCTCCATGTAAGAATTTTATCAATAATTTTTCTGAATGATCACTCTGCATGTGCATTTTTTTAAATCAATTTTAGGAGTGAGAAAAAAGTCATATGTAACAAATTTGTGCAGCAAAGTGCAGTCACCTGTTTGATTTGGCCCTTGGACCAGCCCATCGTTTTTGGACTAGCAGATGGAAAGGTGAGCATATGTAGGAGTACATGCTGCACGTGAAATTACATTTATTACAAATCTATCATATACATTGTTTATTTTTATCAGGCAATAACGCTATAACAGATTTTAGAAGGTGCTATGTAAGGATATACGTAAAATCCTAACACCGAATTTTCTGTACCAAGTTTTCCTTGTGTAACGATGAGTATAAATTTCTGGCATTTGAAAAGGTTCGGATTGCTAATGTGAAGACCAACAAGTCGTCTACACTCTACGGTACTGATTCCTACGTTGTCTCGCTGGCTACGAATCTGTCAAACAAGGGTATCTTATCGGGCCATGCAGACGGTACTATCGTCAGATATTTCTTTGACGATGAAGGGAGTGGAGAATCACAGGTGAACATCAGCTTCTTCGTCAATGACCATGTGGATGCTTTTCGTATCATTTGTGATAATTAATGTAAACAATTAACTGTAATCGTTAAGTGAGCCACAATATGCCCTATTGCACCTCATATGAGGAATGAGGGCGTACTTAGCAGATATAGATTTCAAGCATTTTAGAAACAAGATCCATGTGCGCTTGATGTTTTATAGGCACCATTACTTTCTAATATTAATAATCACATAGGCGTAACATGCTTTCGAATACCATAGAGAGCTCCCATCCTATATGTGGAGAGGGCGTCATACATATCACCAGGATGACAAATTTGTCATTATTTGACATTTGTCATTTTATGACATTATGACATATATGACATTAATGGCATTATTTGTCAAATTTGACATTTTTAATAATGACAAATTTGTTATTATTAACCCTTGGTACTGTGTAATGGCCCAGTCACACATACACGACGCACGGCCCGCGCACTGAAAAATTAGCAATTGTGGCCAGTGCGTTGTCTTTCGCTGGGTGTGCGTCAGCATTCGTTACTCGTTCGTCGGGCGCGCTGGACCAACGCTATGCATTCGTTGTCATTCGCTGTGTGCGTCGGGATTTTTGTGCATGCACAAAAATGTGCGCGGAGCTCGACGCATGAATGTACATGCCAGAAGGATGCCAGACACGCGCAGAGCGCACTGGACCAACGGCAGACACACGCGGAACACATGCTGGGTATTCATTGTATGTTCGTCGGTTGAGGTGTAGCGAACACCTAGCGCACACCTAGCGCACACCTAGCACACACCTAGCGCACACCTAGCACACACCTAGCGTGCTTCTAACGCATGTCCAGCGAAAATGCAGCGAATATGGGTGTGCTGAATGAGTGCTGAACAAGTGCTTAACGAGTCTGTAGCGCGCCCACCGTTCTTCTAGCGTGTTGCTAGCGTGTACGCAGCGTGTAGCCATGGGGTATATAAACGGGTCCCGCCCCCACCTCCTCATCATCACTTCTCCTCCGACCCTCATGGGTGATGACAGAGGTTCCTGCTGATCGTGTCTAGAAGAACCACCTCAGAAGATGGAGGATCCCGACAGGCTGCGAATACAATACGAAATCGCGGTTCTCCAACATCAGCAGAACCTCATGGAACTGGCACTTCACCAAGTCCATGTCATCAGGAGAAGGAGAAAGAGAGGAGGTCAACGGAGATTCTGGGTCCGACCGTGGATCAGTAGGCGACGACAGTTTGGCCTGTATGACCAGCTACTTGTTGAACTCCGTAACGAAGACCAGGCAGCCTTCAAGAACTTCATGCGGATGCCCCCCGAGATGTTCGACGAGCTGCTAACCAGAATGGGTCCGAGGATCAACAAGCAGAATACAACCTACAGAGAGGCCCTCGACCCTGGCCTGAAGCTTGCCCACACTCTGCGGCATCTTGCCTCTGGGACCAAGTATCACTCAATGTCCTATGGGTGGAGGGTGCCTCACAACACCAAATCCCTGACCTGTTCGTTCGCTGACCTGACCGTTCGCTGGCTGTGCGTTGAATGCGCGGTGCATGCGCGGTGCGCTAGCAACACGCTGTGCATTCGTTAGATTTTTTAACATGTGCGCCCTGTATACGCTCTGTATGCGCTCTGTATGCGCCCTGTATACGCGCAGCGCGCTAGCAACACGCTGTGCATTCGTTGTCAACTCGCTAGCTTCTCCCAAATCCTGACAAAAGTTGAGCGCACAACGGCGCACTGATCTTATTTTCCATTTTTTGATTAATTTTCAATGCACGGGCCGTGCGTCGCGTATGTGTGACTGCTCCATAACCAGTGTGCAGATCTTGGTCAAATTAAAATGAAAAATTATAAAAAAAACTAGGGAAAAATCACCGTTCATCCGTCGCCGCCGTATGCTCTGGCGTGGACGGCTAACTCAATCATCGCCGCGGGCTGCGACAAGCGGGTCCTCGCCTACGGCAAGGAAGGAAGAATGTATCAGCAGTTTGACTTCAGCCGTGATGTCAATGAGCATGAGTTCACGGTGGCCGCCACCAGCCCGAGTGGCCAGTCTGTGGTGATCGGAAGTTACGACAGGTACAGCCCGTGCTGAGATGTTAAAAACTTAAAAGAAAAACTTGTGTGTAAACACTTCTGGTGTGTAACATAAACAGTGTATAAACACTTATATGTGGAACTTATGTACATGCATATACTTGGTGTAGTAGAAGCACTTGTGTGTAAACACTGGTGTATAACATAAATGGTGTATAAACACTTATATTTATATGTGGAACTTATGTACATGTATATATACTCGTTGTAGTAGAAGCAATAATTCTGTCATATAGATTGATCTTGCTGCTCCTGCTTGTGTGTTCACTCATCCAAAGCTGTCCTGATCATCTTTTATCTTCTATATCCACTCTCTTTTTCTCTACACTCCTTTGCCCTCTTATTATTATTGCCTGACGGTTTATTTTGAATTTTGTGTGTGTTATTTTTACTTCCAGATTGACAGATTCTCCTAACTTTCCTCCATAGAACTTACCTCACTGTGTTTTCTGCATTACCTATAAATAAGCTTTTTTTGTAAGATAAAGTGCTAACCGATATCTTTTTGTGAATGCAGACTGCGTGTGTTTAACTGGAGTCCTCGGAAGGGAGCCTGGGACGAGTCGAAAGCGAAGGAGATACAGAACCTGTACACGATCACACAGCTCGCCTGGAAGCGAGACGGCTCCCGCTTGGTTGCTGTAAGTAACACGTCCACCGATGCGAATTTGCCCGTGTAACTTTTACACGGCTACTTTCTGGCATTTTTGGTAAACCGTGATGGATATTTTGTGGTACAGTAGACCGTAGAATCATCACCTTCCCAGTGATGTGGTTTAAGTTAATATCATGCAATGAGATTGCCCACAAAGAAAGTCATTCAGATCCACAGTTTGTTGTAATTTCGTCTATGAACTAATGCCGTTGAATGTTTAGGGAACCATTTGCGGTGGCGTAGAACTGTTTGACTGCTCCCTGAGACGTTCCATATACAAGAACAAGTTTGAAATCACATACGTAGGACTAAGTCAGGTACGGATGTACAATGTTCTATAGAGTTCTAGTTGGACTGTATGGTATTGCATGCTGCCATGTCATTTGTGAACATGCTGCCATGTCATTTGTGAACATACTGCCATTTCATTGGTAAATGAACTACCATATTTTTTGTGAACATGCTGTCATGTTGTTGGTGAACATTCTACCATGTTGGTGAATATACTGCCATATTGGCGAACATGCTACCACGTTCGTGAACATGCCTAGGTGATCGTGAAGAACCTGTCAACGGGAACACGCGTCATCCTGAAGTCTCACTACGGCTACGAGATCGACGAGGTGAAGATCCTTGGCAAGGATCGCTACCTAGTCGGACACACCAACGAGACGCTGCTTCTCGGCGACCTGCAGCAGAACAAGCTTAGCGAGGTGGGTCGGGACGTGGGTGCCAGTCTATGGTCGGGGGGGGGGGGGGGAGGCTCGAGTATTGCGAAGCTGAAGTGTAATCATGAATTTAAAGGTGTGAAATATCGTTGAGTGTTGTATGGCAGTATCATTGTCGCGCGTAGTAATCATTGTCGTGATTAACATCCTAGATCACACCACTCAGAAAATTAATCGAATCTTAATCCTTGATTTAATTGAAATAATTTTAACCGATATTAATTGAATCTTAATCCTTGATTTAATAGGAACTAATTTCCATCAATTAGAGCGGAGTCTGTTATAGGAGGCAGTGCTGTTTGATTTGGTTCTAGTCCTGGTAGATATATGATCTTGCGTGCAGTCCTTTATGTGTACAAAAGTTATAATATTCTTCTAATATCTGTGCAATCTGAATGGTGTATCGGGGTTTCTTCTGAGGGAAAATTAGACAAAGGAGATAATGGCCAGTTTGGGAAAAAAACGCGCATGATGAATTCAAAGGTGTGTCATAGGCACGCATGACCAAGTGTCACATATGACTCAATAAATGCACATGGCAATCTAAATATGCCAGAAGCACGTGGTGATCTAATTATTTTTGGGTTGACACAATTTTGACAACGGCGGGTAAATACAGGAACAGTTTCACAACGGCGATGTTTAATTTGACAACGGCGGTGCGCCACTGTGCCTCTTATGTATAAGAAACCCTGTGTATGATGTTTAGAAATCTGATTAGAAATGAGTGAAATGTGAACTGTAAATCGTTTGCACAAGTAGTACAAATGTTTTTTATACATATTCTTAAAACAGGTTGCATGGCAAAATACGGGAGGAAATGAGAAGTTCTATTTCGAAAATGAAAACGTAAGTATCCTTTACATACTCCTGAACCATCAACAACACACATGTAATTTTTCGTGTGACTTAAAAAACTGTTATTTTGCCACGTAAAGACTCATTATTCAGTAGCAATTAATAGTGCTGTTGCCTTCTCTCAAGCATTTTAGAATTTCTCTCACATATATTGTCATCGGTATTCTTTGGCTTGATCGATAGTGAGTGTGCACTTGGTGCTAATGATGTCCATAGCTGTGTTGTTATCCTGAAGTGCTATGGCTATTAGTCCGTTTGTTTGCTTGCTTGAACAGGTGTGCATGATTTTTAATGCCGGAGAGCTGTCACTCGTAGAATACGGTAATAATGAGATCCTTGGATCGGTGAGAACGGAATTCATGAACCCTCACCTCATCAGGTAAAGATATGTTATGTATACACTTTGCTTTATAGTTTTTAAAAAAAATACCAGAAACAAAAAAAATGGATTATCAAAGAGTGAAAGTGCATCTAGATGCAGACGATGACAAAAATGATTGAATATTTCCAAATAAACCTGAAATCGAAAAAGTATTGGGAGCTGATAAATGATTCAACTTCTTTATTTGCAAAGTCCGCTTTATTTTTCAGTGTGCGTATCAATGAGCGAAAGGTAAAGGGTCACGATGAGAACAAGAAAATGGCGTATCTAGTCGATTTAAAGACCATCAATGTACAAGATTTAGTCTATGGAACGACTATAGCACAAGTAAGTTTGCTGAGCTGTTGACAATAACAGATATTGATGAGAGATGCAAAGGCATCACTGATTCAGGACATTATAAGATGCTTGCAGAAACCTATGATTAATACTATAGGTATAGCACAGGTGGCAGGCCTATGTCAATATGTGTTATTGAGGTAAGTGTGTGTGATTTTTTCAACAGGTCAACCATGACTCCAAGATCGGGTGGCTTGAATTGAATGAGACTGGACGCCAGCTGCTGTTTCGAGATAAGAAAGTCAGGGTATGCTGTCAGACTGTGTCATAGACTTGTTGCTAATATAGCACATGTGATTTTGTGCTTACAGTACAACTCTAATATACACCTAACATACAACATACAAAACATGCAACCTAATATATATAAACCATACTACAATTGTGATCACTCCACAGTTAAGGACAATATAATCCATGCTGCGTTATCCTTAAGGTACAGTTCCACCCGAAATAATTCATGCATTTTTGCTTACAGTACTTTTCCACCCAATTTAATTAATTCTGTGTTTTGCTTACAGTACTTTTCCACCAAATTTAATTCATTCTATGTTTTGCTTACAGTAAATTTCTAACCGATATGCTTACAATACAGTTGTAGCCATTACAATCGATGCTACATCGTGTTTACCATACAGCCTCTCACATTGTAATGTGTGCTACGATGCGCTGCTATTGTAGTTGCATCTGTACAACATCGAGACGCAGACGCGCACGACGCTGCTTAACTACTGCAACTACGTGCAGTGGGTGCCAGGCAGCGATGTTGTCGTGTCGCAGAATCGCTCCAACCTCTGTGTCTGGTATAACATCGACGCCCCAGAGAGAGTCACGATGTTCCCACTGAAAGTAAGGCCCTCTCTATACGTAATTCATTGTGTATGCATCAGTAGTAGTGTAGTCTCATGGTTTGAAAGTCTTGGGTATTAGCAGTATTGTGTGGTGGAATTTTAGGTGTGAGGTGATATCAGATAGTAGACCAAGAAGGGAGTGTGATGTATTTACTGTTATAATGCTACCCTGTTCCTCCGTTTAGTGCATGTAAGATTCTTGTACACATAGCTAAACTGAGTGAAGATATTTAAGTATCTTTTATCTCGACCGGATCCTAATATAAATTCTATCATGAATATATGTATAGGAAATATCTATACATATACATATACTATACGTATGCTATTTATATCTATACTTATGTTTATGATTCTATATTGGAAACCCAATCGTTTCCAACACCAACAAGTAATGACGTTGTTATCACATGTCAGTGTTTAGTCAGTTGCTGTAAACAGTTGCTGCACGTTCGTAGGGAGACATCATTGACTTGGAACGAGCTAGCGGAAAGACAGAGGTGATCGTGAATGAAGGAGTGACTACAGTATCCTACACACTGGATGAGGGACTGATCGAATTCGGCACGGCAATTGACGATGGAGATTTTGCTAGGTAGATATCCTCCACGTGATGCCAATTTCTGCATTTACCCCCGTGACTCTGTCATTTTCACTCATCCTGTTTCATTACTGCTTTCTTATTAAATAAAAATCATTTCACTGTCTCGCCTTTTAACACGTTTAACTCCTAATTATATACATATTTCAAACTGCTGTTGTATATATGTGTATCATTATGCGTGTGACTCATTTTCCCCTGAGATTTCAATATAGGTCCAAACGTATTCACATGGTATTGGAATATTTACGGGTATCATTGGTACAGACCAGTTAATTACAAGTGCAATCCTACAGGAGCATAGATGTATTTCTTCAACATGATTTATTTTATAGAATAGATACATTTCAGATTTTGCAATCCGATGGCAACCCACGTTGTGGTTGTTGGGCACATGTACACTTGTACAATTCACTGAAAAGTCGATGTTTCTGTTGTTTACAGAGCAGCAGCATTTCTGGAGACTTTGGAGCTGTCGCCGGAAACAGAGGCCATGTGGAAGACGTTGGCCAGACTCTCTCTCGAGGCCAGGCAACTGTACATCGCTGAGAGGTGTGTCACGGCATCGACAAAATAAATGAATTTGTGATGTTCTAATACTTTGCCGTTTTCTAATTTTCTGGCGATATACTTGCATGTACTGATCCTCGTCAGAAGCATTTATCGATGTGCAGGATGTATATGTTATATAAGCTATGTGTGCCCATAATGAGCACACATAGTTAAAAAATGGCAATTGTTGATTTATTTAAATTTGTCAGTTTAATATTTCTAATCATCGTAGATCATTTAAAACGAATGCTTAGCCGATGCAGCAAAATGGCAGCCACGTTTCATCGTTTGTGTCTATATGCAGTAGTGATCTGACTGGGATTTTGGCAAATATCTTATTAATACATTTGTTATAACTTGCTGAAGGTGTTACGCGGCACTGGGTGACGTGGCAAAGGCACGCTATCTGAGAGAAACGAATAAATATGCAGAATGGGCATCTGTTCAGTTTGTAAGTATTGTCTTGCTTCTGTTGAAGTATCACCACGTACATTATGTTCCAACTTATACAGTGCTACAGGTGCAATGTTATGCGTTTTCTAGTGTATAATTTATATATTATTCAATCATATTTCTTTAATACATATTTTAATACACATTTAAATTATATAGGGTGGAGATGGGAGTGATTACTACAAGGTCAGGGCCAGACTAGCTGTGTTAGATAAGCATCTCAAGCTAGCAGAGGCTATCTACCTAGAACAGGTATCTATACATATTATATATACATATCTTTATATTATTTATGTTTAGTTTATCTATATATATATTTTAGATAAGTATTTTTGTCTGACAGTTCATAATATATGCAGTGTAGCCTATATGTTAAGAGCTCTTTTATGTAAGGGAATAGATAAATTGAGAAAGGTAGATTAAAAGAAATCGTGTAGTAGAGTAATTCATTAGAATAATTAGACGTTATTGAATATAAATTTTCCTCACCCTTAGTCTTGTGCATGTTTAAGATACAACTAACTAATACCAAGGAGTGATGTATGCATGATGTAGTCAGCGGTTAAGTCAATGTCAGATGTTGGGTCGAGGTCAGAGGTTAGATCGGGGTCGGAGGTTAGATCGAGATCAGCAGTTGAGTCGAAGTCAGAGGTTAGATCGAGGTCAGCAGTTACGTCAAGGTCAGAGGTTAGATCGAGGTCAGCGATTAAATCGAGGTTGGAGGTCAGATCGAGACTGCGAGACCGCGCTCGCCGCGTTCGCTCTCTCTGCAGAACAGCGTCGACGAGGCCGTCGAGATGTACCAGGAGCTGCACATGTGGGACCGCGCGATCGACGTCGCCGAGGCGAAGGCTCACCCCGAGCTCGACGAGCTGCGCCGCCGCTACGAGCAGTGGCTGATGTCGACCAACCAGGAGGAGAAGGCCGGCGAGGTGAAGGAGCAAGAGGGAGACCCGATGGGCGCCGTCGCGCTCTACCTGAAGGCGGGGCTGCCGGCGCGCGCCGCGAGGCTCGCCACCAGCCGCAGGGTAGGTCCGCCAGGGGGCGCTGGTCACAAGGGATGGGGATCCACCAGGGGGCGCTGGTCACGGGGTGTGTCCACCGGGGGGGCGCTGGTCACGGGGGAGTCTAAATGTTTTAGCTCAAGAAGCTCTCTTCGACACTTGCTACTACTAGTACTAGTATAGTTTTACATCTGCGTGAAACTTTCTAATGTGATGCACCAACTGTGCCATCTGATTTTTCACCAATCAACCAATTTTTGTATTCACTCTTGATAGTACATATATTATATATACTGATGTTGTGCGTTCATACATTAATATACAATATAATATACAAGATATAATATTGAATAACTTGTTATCTTTCAGGAACTGATCGAGAGCCAGGATGTGATTAATCGCATTGCGTCAGCACTCATAAAAGCAGAGATGTATGAACAGGTGAACAGCTTACATCACGTAATGGCCTCCCATGCAGTATTTGCCATAGGGAGGGGACGTATCAGATGGTTACAAGCTCTCAGACGTAGACTTAATTACATCAGCTAATCATTATGCTGTAGTTATTTTATAGATTATTCTTCATTTATTTTTTAATTTGTTTGACATATTTGTCATAATTTGACATCTATATATTATCACATTGGATTGGGAATCATAAAAATTACATCAGCATTTTCAGTGATACTCAGAGCATCCTGAAGTGAATCCTCTAAAAATTCCTACAAGGTGTCTTGTATATAGATTAGAGGCATAATACTGGATTGGTATTTTTTGCAGGCGGGCGATCTGTTTGAGAAGATTGGTGATTTCGATAAAGCCCTCGATTGCTATCGACGAGGCGAAGGCTTTAGAAAGGGTAAGCAGTATACACCAGACTCCCACACGTATTAGTTCAGCAGTACATAGTGAGCATATGGAGTCTTAGTTAACACTAGCTGGGCTTAGTGACTGTGATGCATGTGTTACCAGGGCAGTAGTGTTATGTGTAAGGTGTTATATGGAGAGTTTAGTTGTTGCACATGTTTGTTTTTTATGGTTGAGAAGTCAATACAAATACATGTGCAATCATGCTTACACGTAACACATTAACCATTTGTTTGGCAAGTACACAGTGAAATACACACACCCACACAGAAACGTTTTATTGTATGCTATGTACTGGTTGATGATACGGACTCCAAAGTTACAATTTAGATAGATGTGAATGGGTATAACGTAAACGTAATATTACGTGCTTCGCATGTTTCCACTGTGTGCGGACCAGGTAATATTGCGTGGTTGTGATCGCTTATTTCTACGTATGTTTGCACTCTGTGCGGACGACGTAATATTACGTGCTTGTGATCGGACCGCTTGTGACAGATCGGTGTCCACGGCACCCGTACACTGTACAGCATTGCAGACTTCCAAAAAAAAATCTGCACTGATGAAATTCAACTTGTACATCTCATATGGGAAACTATGGCCAAATAGCTACTGAATATTTAACTTCATTACATGGTTATTTCTACTTACATTATGGGGCTTACACAAATCTCAGACACACAGACACAGAACAGAGATACACAGAACAACACGAAATTGAAACCTGTTGAAACAAAACGAAATACAAACAGAACGAAAACAAAACAGCGCCCCCTATTTTCAGGCAAATGTTTACCTTTTTTGTGTTTTTTTGTCTTTTTTAAGACCGAACAAACGGTTTTCAACCGAGTATAGTTTAGAACCCGTCCCGTGTACTCATCGATCTCTTCTGTAAATTTGGCGCTATTTGGATCCAAACTGACGGAGCCTTTCATTAACATACATACATACATACATACAACATTCGCCAAATTATAGTAAGATGCTAAAATCGCTGTTTGCTTAGACACCCCCCCCCCACCCCAAATTTCAATTACAGCTCACTGCCAGCCTATAGTAATCGGATCTTCTACCCTTTAAACTTAAACCTGAAATATTGTGCATGGGTCAGAGAGTCAGTAGCCTTGATTGCCACTGATCACACTTAATCACTTGATGGAGTGATGCACACTTAATACAGCGTACCTAAATCCATGTCTTTAAGCCTGTGGGCGCACATCACAGGCTGCGTATTCAGTCGCCGTCATTGAATGTTGTTGATCGTTTGCGTCTTGCAGCCGTGGAGCTTGCTAGAAGCCACTACCCGAGCGATGTCGTCAAACTGGAAGAGCAGTGGGGTGACTACCTCGTCTCACAGAAGCAGCTGGACGCTGCCATCAACCACTACATCGAGGCCGGGTCAGTGAGCGCACGCGCGCACGCAGCCGCACAGCTCGGCATCACAGAAGACACGCATGTAGAATTCCATGCTCGTGTTCGTGGTGTTATGATACGAAATCGAGTAGCGTTGTCGAAAACACTATACCGTCTACCCTTTACAATTGCAGTCAGCATAGGGAAATTATATCTTGTTAATCATTGTTGTAAGGTCACAGTTTTGGTTAGAGTCAATGTCTCAATGAGTGGTGTATTTTGCGGAATCAAATACAATAATAATGCCAACATTACTGCCTGTATACCATAGCTTAGCTATATACCTGTAACCCTATAATCCCAAAGTGCCCTCAATAGGCAAGTTTCCATTCTATAGAAGTACCCGTTAGCACAGGTTTTGTAACTGTACTTGTTTAATCGACCAAAGTTTGAGACGTAAATATTCGTGATGATTGCAGAGCATCTATCAAGGCCATTGAAGCAGCCATCAGTTCTCGTCAGTGGTCCAAAGCCGTGCAAATTGTTGAGCTACAGGATCCAGACCTTGCGTCAAAATACTACTACAAGATCGCGCAGCATTATGCTAGCGTGCAGCAGTACGAGGTGAGTGGTCGGATCGCCGAATGTTTCCTTGTTTTTTATATCATTGTAATTCGAATGTGTGAGATTATGAGAGTAAAGGGATCAGTTGTTTTTTCGTCACGTAAATTTTATATCTGATGTTTAGTGCTCATTGCTCATAATCAAAATTATGTTGATCTATTTGCTGAATAACTACAAATTACATCATGCAATAGATGGCAGTAAAATCATGAATTATGAGAATTATCTGTTTAATAGAGTAGGGGTGTGTCATATAGTGATGTCACTAGTTGTAGTATTTCAGTGTAAGCTGATTGGTTATCGGCATGCATTTGCACATGCATCGTGATTACATTGTGTGTATGTGTGATGTTTTAATTCCTTCCCTGTAGCTGGCAGAGAAGTTCTACGTTGAAGCTGGAATGACAACTGAGGCCATTGAGATGTACAACAGCGCAGGGTTGTGGGAACAGGCTCACAGGGTAAGTGGGAAAAATGTTACGAGCCATACCAGGGCCTAGTTGTCAGAAACATCACTCATGATCATAAAGATAATAACCATAAATACCCATGACTATCACAAGTCTAAAAAGTCTAAACTTTTGCAGTACACTTTGCATGTTAAATTTTTGATATTTTAGAATTAAGATGCCATAACTATTTTTGATGTTTCTCACAACAGACCTGACTCACTAAAGAAACCGTTAATTAATTGTGTATCGGTTAAATTGACTACGTCACGAATTTTCTATGGTGTATATTTGTAAAAAAAATTGTTGCCATTTTTTATATTAAAAGTAAGTACTAACGGACTAAATGTATCGTCAAATTCTTACCTGATAAGATTGTTTCTCAACTAGTTAAAAATCCAAAAAACCTGGACGATTTGATATTATGATCCTGACATTAATTGCTTGCTATAGGCTATGTATGAGTTACGAATGTATGTTTACATCGAATAATATAGTAAAATAGGAAGTATAATGCAGCAATTTAACCATAAAAAGTGAACAGAATTACTTGGAAAGAATGGAAAAAGTGGAAATTTATTTTTTATTTTTTACTATTTACGGTGACGTAATCACTCTTTAAAGTAAACGTCATGTTTGTCGTGCGTAGTTATACTACTGATGTTAAACGGGAATCTTCCCAAACGTAATTTTATTCTCACTGTGACCGAAGCCGAACTAAACTAGAAGCTAAACCTAACCCAAGCTATATAAAAATTAAAAATAGGATCATAAAAATAAGCAATACAAAATGAGGGGAACATTTCGAAACAAAAAATTTCGATACAAAAAATCCCTTAATTCCGCTTTCGTCTCATTTGCGATCGGTGATGGGGAGGGGGACAAACTTGGCGCATATTTCATCTTTCGTCTTGTGTCTCGCATCCAGCTTGCAGCGAAGGCGATGCGGCCAGACGAGGTCGCCGTGATGTACATCAAGCAGGCGCAGACGCTCGAGGATAGAGGGCGCTACCGCGAGGCCGAGCTGCTCTACGTGAACGTCGACGAGCCGGACCTCGCGATCACGATGTACAAGAAGCTGCAGCAGTACGAGCACATGCTGCGCCTCGTCAAGCAGTTCCACCCCGACCTGCTGCATGACACACACATACACCTAGCCAAGGTAACGTGCATGACACACACGTACACCTAGTCAAGGTAACGTGCATGACACACACGTACACCTAGCCAAGGTAACGTGCATGACACACACATCACCTAGTCAAAGTAACGTGCATGCGACACAGATACTCCTAGTCCAAAGGAACGTTCATGACACACACAGTACACACCTAGCCAAGGTAACGTGCATGACACACATGAACACCTAGCCAAGGTAACGTGCACGATACACACATACACCTAGCCAAGGTAACGTGCACGACACACACATACACCTAGCCAAAGGTAACGTGCATGACACACACAATACACCTAGCCCAAGGGTAACGGTGCCACGTACCACACAATACAACCTAGCCCAAGTAACGTGCCATGACACACACGCTACACCTAGCCAAGGATGTAACGTGCATGGACACACATGGAACACCTTAAGCGCCAAGGTAACGTGCCACGATACACCACATACACCTAGCACGAGTCGTATACGGTGCACGACACAACGTACACCTAGCCCAAGGTAACGTGCATGAACTACACAATACACCTAGCCAAGCTAACGTACATGACACACAGATACACCTAGCCAAAGTAACGTGATGACATCACACGATACAACCTAGCCAACCAGGTAACGCTGCTCCATGACACACACGTACACTTACCAAGGTAACCTGCTGCACGACAAACACATACACCTATCCATTCCAAGGTAACGTGTTGCATGACACACACATACACCTAGCCAAGGTAACATGCTGTAAGATACACACATACACCTAGCCAAGGGAACGCACATAACACACACATCCACCTAGCCAAGGTAACATGCTCACAGTGTTACACAACACACATACACCTAGCCATAAGGTACGTTCTAGCAGTAATATATCAGAAGTGTGGCATAAACACACATGTATGCACCAGGGCTAGGCTGCATGGCCTGCTGCAATATAGCACCGATGTATAGTTGGGTCAGTGTACGTTATTCGCAAATGTATCACAATGGATCTAATGGTATTGGTTCCGTTACTTTCTCTTCACGCCTCCCATTGTGTGTTTCGTGTAGGAGATGGAGACTCAGAAGCAGTTCCGCCAAGCAGAGCACAACTATCTCGAGGGCAAGGATTGGAAATCGGCTGTCAACATGTACAGGGCCAACGATCTGTGGGAGGATGCGTACAGGGTAATCACACATCTGTCAATGCTTGCTCTACCTAACGTTCCCACTGCTCGCTCACGTGCACACGTGGGCGGCTACTCTGCCATAGGCTACTCAATGCTCATAGGCTGCTCATAGGCTGCTGCGGCTACTCAAACATTTAGCTTAAGTAGACAATCTCGGCTGTCAATGAACCCTGCCATTTTTCGAGATACATTCAAACCTGATATTTATAATTGTATGTAATTATATTATTATAACATTAAATTATGATAATCTTTTTATCTATATTGTTATTAATTAAGATTTTTCTATTATGATTATTCTATTTCAATATATCTTGTGTAAAATGCTGTTCAAGGGAAATATCAAAAGTGTGATTATGGCCAAATGTCCATACTATAGAGTTGATTTGAATCTATTACAACTGTTACTCAAGTGAAACACCACTTGTGTCCTTATAGACAGGTATTCCTTCTGTAGAAGTGTCCGTTAACATCTGAGTTTCACTGTACACTCGCATGCATTTGTTTAGGTGGCAAAGGCGCAGGGCGGTGCGAACGCAGCAAAACAAGTGGCGTACCTTTGGGCGAAGATGCTCGGAGGCGACAGCGCCGTGAAACTGCTGAACAAATTTGGCATCTTGGAACCGGCGATCGACTATGCGACCGAAAACGGGTACAGGGGCTACTACTTACAGCTCGCTAACTCGTTAACCTGTTAACCTGTTAACTCATTAACTCCCTGTTTCCCACGCTGAATCGTTTGCAGTAAAGACTTGCTGAAAAATTCGCACCGACATGTCCATACTGAGACCGTGGATAATGAGCAGGGTTGTCAGTCGAAATGTCGAAGGACGGTCTAAGGTTAAATGCAGAAATGTTGGTTAACTGGTCATTGGTGACAGCACAGGTCTAGCCAGGTTCCATGGTCTAGCCCGTCATACCCAGGGGAGGCTAGTTAGCAAGTTATTAAGCATGGCGAGAGACAGGAATCATGACGGAAAAGGTATTAGGGACTGACCATTTGAAGTGCTAGGAGTGATAATCATTATAACAAGGTTTGGTTATGCAATACTGCATTATCCCCCACCACTTACTCATACGTCTGAACATTTCATATTTTTATCGATACAGGTCGTTCGACTTTGCATTCGATCTGGCAAGGATCTCGGCAAAAGAGAAGGTGCCAGAGATCCACCTAAAGTATGCTATGTTTCTCGAGGATGAGGGGAAGTTCCAAGAGGCAGAGGCACAGTTCACCAAAGCTAACAAACCAAAGGAGGCCGTTCTCATGTGAGCGTAGATTACAAATAGTTGTAGCACACAGTAGACATCCATAGTGTTCTAGAAGTAATGCTGTATGACCACGACATCGGAGCAACTGTGTGTAAATAACACAAGGATATACTGACCAAGCAAGTGCCTATATACAATAGCTGCTTATTGCTGAAGCACTCAACGTGTACCTTAGTTTCACACAATAATGTTATAAGTGGCCCCCAATACCTACTGGCAGGCTATAACAACAAGTCATCTTTCTAGTTAGATCATGAAGGTAGTAACATAATAGAACTACTGCAACTACTATTACTATTATCATTATCATTATCACTATTTTATTATTATTATCACTATTACTACTACTACTATTATGATGATGATTATTATTATTGTTATTGTTGTTGTTGGTAATGTTGTTATTGTTTTTACTTGCTACTGTTATCGGTACTTTATTAGGTATGAATTATTACATTTATAACTAATTTTTAATTTGTTTTTCGATAAAAATAATTATGATAAACTACAACCGCATTCTACTACATCGTGCACTCTCTCCCTCCCCCCACTCTCTCTCTCTCTCGCCGCATGCGCGTGCATGCGCGTGACAGGTACGTTCACAACCAGGACTGGGCGTCTGCGCAGCGCATCGCCGAGCAGCACGACCCGGACTCCGTCGCCGACATCCTCGTCGCCCAGGCCCGCGTCGCCTTCGAGGAGAAGGACTACGCGCGCGCTGAGTCGTTCCTGCTGCGCGCGCAGCGGCCCGAGGTCGCCGTCAACTTCTACAGGGTGCGTAGCGTGACCTAGAGGTCACCCAGAGGTCATTGTTAACTTAACTTAACAGGGTGCGTAGCACGACCTAGAGGTCACCCAGAGGTCATTATTAAGTTCTACAGGGTGGGTAACACGACCTAGAGGTCACCCAGAGGTCATTATTAAGTTCTACAGGGTGGGTAACACGACCTAGAGGTCACCCAGAGGTCATTGTTAACTTCTACAGGGTGGGTAGGGTGACCTAGAGGTCACTCAGAAGCCAGTGTTATCTTCTACAGATTGGGTAGTGTGGCCCAAGGGTCATTATTAACTTCTATAGGATGGGTAGCGTGATCTAGAGGTCACCCAGAAGTCATTGTTATCTTCTAAGGGTGGGTAGCATGACCTGGAGGTCACCCAGAGGTCATTGTTATCTTCTAGGGGTGGGTAGCATGACCTGGAGGTCACCTAGAGGTCATTGTAACCTTCTACAGGGTAGGTAGCATGGCATTGGTAACCCACGGGTTACTGACACCTCAAGGGCAGGTAGTGTCTCCCAGAGGTCATTGTAACCTTCTACAGGGTAGGCAGTAGGGAGGATAACAAACTACAAAGGTGGCTGCTGGCATTATCATTATTCGCTTACTATATCCCGTTTGTCTCGCAATGGGTGGTCCAAAAGATAATAGAAGAACACGACGTTT